AAAAAAAATAACACATGTAAAATCATGCCAGAGAACAGAGTAGGTAGTAACTTGTTGAGTCTATTACCAGACAAAATGTTTAAATCAATGGTGTGTTCTCATAAATCAACCATATTTAGCCTTAACTATAACCATCCCTGAGCAATGTCGAATAGAGAGAAAAGACATAAGAAAATATGGTGATGCTCCTGGAAGGAGGAGGGGAGGAAGCAGCAGATGAGATGAGCACGGTGTAGGGTCATCTCCCAGACAAGGAATTTATTTTATAGGCCAGAATTGAGGTGCCGCAGCATTTGGGGCTGAGCAGAGACTCCGGCAGAGCCTGCCAATCACACCGACTCCTACCAAGTCTGGCGGTGATTTGGGGATGTTAAAAGAACCATTCGAACTTAGTTAAAACTTGGACATTTATTTGGGTTGTGCACTAAAACAAAAATTGAACCCAGAAGAAGAGCCAAAACTCTATCCTACATAATTGGAGACAAAAGGGTTTGCATTGCAGACCATAAAAGATCATTCTTTTTCAATTACACTTGACAGATCTAAGTTATATATAAGAGGAGTGGGTTTGGAAAGGGGGAGAGCAGTAACAGTAAACCAGAGAACAGAATGTAACTCAAGAAACAGCACAAAAATCTCATCGGATCCTTTTCTTTTTTAGCTGGGAGTGGAAGATTGTTTCTTTTCACTCCTCGATCTTTGTTCATCCCCTTACTCTTCCAGTTGAGCTGGTTTGATTCAGATTTAGGGCCCCCATTCATTCCAATTAGATGGCTTTTCTGTAAAGCTGTTTACCAAACCCATGCTATGCTCCCATTGACAGGATTTCACTGCTTTCCAGAAAAGTAATGGATTTCTCACATACCACAGTTTCTAAAGCTCCCTTCTTCAGCAATGTCCTCCGCAACACAAACATTTAGTAGTTCTGTTAAAGCAGTGGCTCTGGCCCAAAGAAAGATATTTTGCCTACCGTGAACTCTGGCACTCATCAGTTTGATGTGCAGCAGTGCAAGCAAAGTTCCCAAACACAGGTTTCTGTTCAGTGGCCTGCGAATAGACACTGGGGCACAGGTTGCCCACGAGAACCATCCTCAGCTCCTTGCCTGCAGACTGGGAAGCAGTCAGCTTTGGAGTCCTTAGTCTATAAAGGCTTCCCTCAGCTACTGCTGAAGTCTGTCTCCCAAGGTGTTGGTTTCTCCCTAGCCCTACCCTTCTGTCTCACCTTATTTTCTTCTCCAAAGTCATACTTTTGACACATTTCGTTTGTTCATTTAGGCAGACAATTTTACTAGAACTGCATCCTTCATATGAAATCCAATAGAATTTGCTTCTGCTTTTGCTTGCAGTCCTTAACACATTGTCAGCACTCCCACTGAAGCAATCACGTTGAAAATAAGAGTTGCTTCTTCCAGTTCTGGCATTTGCACATTTTTACAAGACGCTGGAAAAGCACAGTTGGATTTTATTTTTTTTTTCCCTACAAATGTCGAGGCAATAATAAGTAACAGATTCTTGAGTTTTGACTTGCCTCAAAACCAGGTGTTTCTGACATGTACCACGTCTCAAACATATTACACACTCCAATACTCTTCTTATCAAGAGCTTAAACTTTTTACATTCTCTTCTCCCCATCAACAGGCAACAAGACTTTTAGGCTTTCCTGACTACCAGTTTAGTTTTTGCATAGTGCTCCCTTTTCAGTGACATGCAGAGAAAGCATCAGATTGTGTGAACTTTGTGAGTAACCTGTCAGCTAGATATAGTGCCTGACGTGCAGAGAAAGTGTCAAGGTACTATGAATATCAAAACTAAAGCTGGGCAGATTAGAGGAAATGCAGACCAAGTAGTTTTCTTTTTTTCACGCAACCAAGAGAGCGATCTAAATAAAAACCAGTCTGAAATTCACACTTAAGTGATCTCCAGTGGGCTAAAGCCTTACCGTGGCTGTAGTTATAGCTCAACTTTTAGAATCAACAAGCAATCCAGGTGCAGGTATAATGCTCTTCTACTCCCCAGTTCAGTTTTCAGGCTAGCTGCTGGCTATGGGAACCTCTGCAGCTCCACCTTCTGGAAGTCTTGGTTTGCAGCATGGTTCTGCCATTAGTGCCACACAGGCGGAACCGAGAAGGATTTCCACCATACAGCTCTCCTCTATATTTCCAGCAAAGCAAAACAGCATGCTGGGTTCCAGTTTGGAGCAAGTTCTTGCATCATCTGGGTTCATTTCCTTCTAGTATTATTGCCTTAGCACTGGCTATAATCATGAATACTTCATTGTTTTTAAGAAGTTTCAAAAGGCAAGTACAGTTTAAACAATTTTGAACTATTATTGTAAAGCAAGCTCAAAATCATTGTACACGTTTGGGAGATGCTCCTAATTCAAGAGCTGTTCACTGTTCAGCGTGGGACATGTCTGGTGGGACCCTCTTGAGCCATAGCTGATGTGTAGCTTATCTGATGGAACAAAGATACAAAAATATCTTTGCCTGTTTGTGGAGTGCATGCTGGCTGCTCATTTTATCCTGGTGTTTTTATCAAACGAGCTTATACAAAATAGTTTTGGTCCAGTTGAATCCAAATTAGCATCTTATGATAAATGCATGAGACAACCCATTGTGATGGTTCTGCGTAGAACGCTGCCAAAAAGTGAATGGAGAAAGAAAATTGAGATTCATTACATTTAAAGTGGACTTTTGACCAGGAAGATCAATGGCTGCATTTTTCTGTGCAGATTTACTGGCCAAATGAAACCCTGGTTTAACCTCTGAACTCAGAGGGTTTCATAAAGAGGGGAATTTGTCTATAAGGGTCATGCATGTGCATGCTTTCCAGGCATTACAAGATTGAGGTTGTAGTCATTTAAACCTAGAAGAAAAAAGGGAAAACCCGTAAGAGGTCAGATAGGGAAATGAGACTTAACAATACTGCTCTCTGACCATCAGACAACGATTGATATGCTAAGCAACAGTACACAGGAAAGGATGAAATCCAGAAAAAAAAAAACCAAAACAAAACCAAACCAAACCAAACCATACCAAAACAAAACAAAACAAAACAAAACAAAACAAAACAAAACAACAGATGTCCCTGAAGAATTGGCATGACTGAAACGTGTGGTAGCTGTCTGCTCTCAAGGCCACCGATGACCATGGGAACCTACGTTCTGCATTGCCTCCAGCCAAAGACCCAGTCCCCACACAGCTGACGGGTTAGTAAATGGCTGACGCTTTTCTTCCACTTGTGTGAAGAGATTGGCATTACCTTCTCTTCACCTCAAGTTATTTTTCACCATAAACACTTGCTGTAGCCACTACAAAAAGATGAGATGAGCCACGTCATCCCAAACAGCTGCACCAGCTGTAAGCCAAAGGATCACGCAGAAAATACAGATTATAAACAAACTGGAATCCACTTTCAAATTTCAGAATTTGGTAGAATTTCTACAGCATTCAGATATATGCTCATCATTCCTAGCCAACGGGTAAATATTTCCATCTCCAAGAGCTGTAAATAATTTAAAGGTTAAAAAGCTAATACAAATACCAAATGTAGCACTAATAAATAGAGAAAGCTGGCACTGATACCACATTCAGTGGGCGGTGGACTCCAAACTAATTCTTCACCCACAGTGCATATTGCCTTTCCTTCCTTCCAGCTGGCATTAGTAAAGTAGCAACAGCCTTAATATCAGACTTTGAGAAATTTGTTACCATAAGCCAGACTTGTAGCAGCATTTAAAACAAGACTACATTTAACATAAAATTGAGCTATTTTCTGGCCGTTTGTAAAAAATGAAACATGATCTAACATTAAATAAACCAGATGATGCAGGTTTTTGAGGCCAAAATCCCATTCCTACCAGATTAAAAAAAAAAACCACCCTAACAACGAGACCCCTTTGTTCATGCAGACTGGTTTCTGGTAATGCAGTGACCAAAGTTCTGCATCTGTGGGCATATAGAACTAGTAATTGTTGAACGTGCAAATCAGAGCTTATGCTCACAAATTCATGTTTGTTTATTCTTTTGTAATTGGTATTATATTAATACTAGCTAGGAATCCAAACCCTACACATGGCACTATAGAAACATAACAGATGCTCTGTTCCAAGGATCTCAGTTTAAAATTGATTCTACTGCTTAACAGTAGACTAGGAAAGTCCCTCAAGGTACCAGTTGTTTTAAAAAAAATGAAAGCAATTTTTATGAATCACATTGACCTTTCTGAGCTATTTTCTTCTCAAGGGAAATTTCATTTAATTTAGAGGAAACATTACCGTTCTATTTGAAAGTAGCACAAGGATTTTTCTGAAGTGTCAGAATTTTCTTTGGAACAGAGAATTAGAAAATCTTCCTGATATTACCTAATAGACACATACTGATACAATCCAAAAAGCTACAAAAGTGCAAGAATTTAAAGAGTCTTGTCACTAAAAATGGTCTTTGGACTGTAATTATTATTTATATCTTTTAATCTTTTTATGAAAGGTCTGGAAGCACCCTATGCTATCCATGCCATCCATGAAACCTTACTGCAAAGTCACTTATTTTCACCTCACCATCTTCCATCACCACCTAATTGTGCAAGTACATTGGAAATTTTTAAGGATGGAGATCCTCACACAGAAATACAGTCTGGAATTTGTAGATCAAAACTAGATTTAAATAAAATTATTTTTTTTAAAAAAAGCTGGATGTTGAAAGCAGAGAGCAGAACTATGAACACTTTAAGCTAAGTGTCTCAGCTGTGAAGCGATGTGCAGTCCTAAGAAATTCCCTAAGAACTTTCAGTGTTTGATGGGCCATGGGACAAGAGACATGGGTTGGTAACTGTTTTAATGAATTTACTGGACAAAAATCCGCTATCATAAGAAGCGATCTGGCTCTCTGTTTTTGAATAGGAGGCGAGGAAGGGTGTGCTTCCCCACCATCTAACATCTTTGTCAACTGGATAAAAAATTACGGATTTTAGCTCATTTTCCACTTTTGTTTCTCACACAGGCATATCATAGGCAAGTTTCCTGACTATCCCACGGAGGAGGCTGGAGGTTCAGTGGCTATTCTTTCTCAAAAAACTCCGGAGCAGGTACTGTCACTCCTCTAATGAAAGAGGTTAATGGGATTGAGAAAGGATTTGCCACAAAAACGTGTCTGTTGATTTAAGTAGCAATTTTTCATAACAATGGCCTCTAGTTCCCCAGCAACCTTATAGTTAAAGAGGTTTTTTTGTGCAAGTGAAAGGATTGTTTTCTTCCAGGGTAAACCATGAAAGTCACTTACCACAACTTGTTCCCTTTCAGGATGTGCAGCCACTTATGCATGGTGGAAGGTGCTCAGGCATGCAAGTTACAGACAGATAAATGTCTGAGGGAGCTAAGAGGAAAGGACTCAGCTACAGAGAGTTGCTCTCCTGCTGCAAAATCCGTGTAGTTAGACTGGTGCTAGCTCCTAGTAGAAACATACATTAAACAGTTTAAAGAGTCTTGGTTTAAAATAGGCCTCCAAAGCTACCCCAGAGGCTGGAATTGGTTCCAATGTGTTTGCGTTCAGTATCAACACACTCTAGCAATAGTTTAGTTTAAGAAAAGAAGAGTTTCTTATGCAGGCAGGCCGGAGCCTTGATTTACTGCCAAGGATCATTAAGTGAGCTTGAATATTCAAGTCAAGGAAGTATCTTAGTTTATCTTATGTATTCTTGTCGTGAACTCAGTTTTTCCCAGGGAAATTCCTCTTCTGACTTCTTTGGCTAATAGAAGTGGCTGATAATCTCTTCCTCTGATCATCTGGGTGCCACACAAAGTGATTAAGACCAGATAAAGCGGTGAGGACAGTGGTCGGCACTTGGGGCCATTTCCACCCGCCGCGGTGATCTTAGCAGGATGATGAGCCCATTGAGGGAAATTATAAACAGGAAGCCCTGCACAAAGGAGCAGGATTTGGCCCAAGTGAACCAGGCGTGGTGGCTACTAGTGGGCTAGGAAAACTGAACGGCCACAAACTGACCTCTGTGGTCCTTAAAGCTCCCCTGTTGAGACTGTTGTGTTCATCGCTGCCTGCAACCGATGAGCTAACACAGGTATGGTAAAACACTAATTTGGACTCAGTCCTTCCTGGGATCACAGGGAAAAGCCTGGGGCATACCAGCAGTCTGGGTGGTTTGAGCGGGATGTAAATACAGACTAGCCCAGCATAAAGCACAGTACTCTAACCATTAGTTACTTTGCTTACTAAAATAGGCAGTAAAACTGCTAAAACAGCTCTCTGTACCACACTAAAACTGAGCTCAGGGCACGCTCCTGGTTTTAGCCAAGGTCAGCCCTGCTGGCCTCTGTATCTAAGCCACTCTGTTGTTCAGTCCCAGACAGACCGAGAGACCCGTCAGTTAAATTTTCAGCTTCTAAAGTAGAAACACATGCCCGAGTCAAGGAGGCTTTGTTGGCTGCTCCCAGCAGCAGGGGAGCCACCCAGTAAGTATGGCTTATTGCTGGAGAAGGCTTTAGGGAACATGATGCTAATTAGACGTGCTACCAACAAGGATAAACACAACTCAAAGGAAATGTTACAAGTAATTATACTGAGCAAGACTGGATATGGTAGTAGATTCTGGAGAAATACATTCTTCCTGTCCTACTCCCAGCTTTGAATTCTTTCCTTCAGCTATTTTGCTGTCTTTCCTGGGCATCTGCTTTCTTTTTGCATTAAAATAAAAAAAAAATTAAAAAAAAAAATAATAAAAAAAAACAACAACAACAACTAAAAATAAAGGGAGGCAAAAGTTTAGAGAGATTGTTTTATTGCCTGGTTTTCCCTGCATAAAAGAAACATACCTGGAAGGAGGAAAAAAAAAAGTAACTATTTTCCCAGCAATTTTCACTAATAATTATGTGATTTTCAAATATTTTTGTGCACATTTTTTCCTCCCTTTTTAGCCACCACCAGAAAGACCAGAACATATTTCACACAAATTTAAAAGACATTCAGGATGCAGTTGGCAAAAGAAAGTTCAGTACTTTCATGATTTTACCTGAATGTCAGACAAGTAAAATATTTTTTGTTCATCTAAGTCAGCCTGCATATTAAAAATCCCTAAGGCAACTAGTTTCGTTCCACACTGGTCTAACAGGGCAACCTAGTAAATGAAATCCTGGCCCCATTGAAGTTAATGGGAGTTTTGTCCTTGGCTTCAGGGGAGACAAGGTTTCACCTCTTGTATATATTACCATGTGTGGATGGGCTGGTTACTCCCAAGTTAAACTCCATGAAAAATCAAGACCGAACTGTATTTAAAAAGCGAGCATTTTATAAGACTTAGGTAAAGACACTTTGGGGAAAATAAAATACAAATTAATCACTTCACGAACCATTGCTGCATTATTATACATTCTATATTTCTTTATCCTTTGACAACTCTGACCTTACTTGACTTTGTAATGTAGCTGGCCTTCTGCACAAACTGCTTTCATGACATTTTACAAATACCTTTCAAAAAGATATGCCAAAGAGATCCCGATGCAAAGCGCTTGGTGATTTAGTCAGAAAAATATGTACTGTCTCTTGACTGAAAAGAAGCTTTTCTCTACTTTACATACTCTCCAAGAGAAATTTAAGATTCTGAGACATCAGTGTAATCTCCCTGCATCTGTTCCAGATGTCTATCCCTAATGGTTTTTTATGTTTTGTTCCGAAGATAATCATCAGATGTGACAATTTTTAGCTTTGCCCTTATACTGCTGCCAACAAAATTATGATCTCTTCCTGTAGTTCATTAAGTCTCATCACCATGAAAATAAGCCAAGAGAGTTGCCATTTAGCAGGCGCATTCCCCATCTCCCAGCTCCTCCTCATTTCCTATATTAAATAACTTTGCAGAAAAAAAAAGTTGCTTCTTTACAAAGATTTTGGTTGTACATTCATTCGCTGCATGGAGAACAAAGTCATTTCCACATTGCTGTAATCACAGTATCTGATCCAGCAGCATCTAGAGAAGGAGTGAGAAAAAGTATGTGTTAGCTGCTGTGCAAACATATGCTCCTGATCCTCACTTGGCACTCTGTGCAATACTACTCTGCTAATTAGTATTCATAATTACCAACAGCTCAAGATCCCCATGAATCCCAGTAATCAGTTTGATTATAAGTGGCAGTGCAAGAGATCCCCAGTAGTTAGCTAAAATTTATTAGCAACCCTGACTATTTCCCAGGTAGGGACAGTAAAATGCTATTATGCAATCAAGTACTGCAATATTTACACACACACACCCCCCCCCAAACATAATATCTTACTTTTAACAAACGAATGTGTCACGAGCAGGTTTAAATGTCAGAGGAGAACTCAAGAGGCTCTGCAGTTGTACTTTTCCACATCCAACATTTTGCAAATATGCTTTTATTTCGATAGCAAATACACCATGTGTACTTTTCAGAAATAGAAGTAGGTGCCTACAGTTATGCTCACCTTTATTTCCTTTGCTCATCACTATTCTGGATGCTCCTTTTAGAAATGATCAGGCTGGATTTTCACGGGGACTAAATACACAGTGCCATCAGCTGGAGCTGGGCACCTGAAAGCCTTAAAATATGCTGATTATTTCAAGTTAATCATGCAGGAGGACAGAAATGGTACTCAGTCTGTTAAACGGCACAACAGGCATCTGTATTCACCGCCAGACAATTCACTGCAATGAAGGCATTCAACAGGTAGATGCCGAGTCCAGCAGCTCTCCACTGCCTATGATCATGAACTCTGTTGGCTGAAGTCAGTAGTCTAGGTTTTGTGCCTAAATCCAGGCAGTATCAACAACCCCTTGTCACCTCTACCACCACTTTCCCTAAAAAAAAAAAAAAGATCTACACCAAGCAAAGCTAACAGATTTTTCATAAATACGTTCAACAGAGACTAACATTTTGAAGCATTCGCCAGAAAACAGAAACAAGAGTGAGTTAAATTACATTTGGGCAACATCTGCCAAACGGCAAAAGACTAGAGCATATATCAATCATGGACTAAAATACACGGCTATTAAAGCAGATTATAAGATTTTGTAAGATCGCATAATGCTATGAAATCCCACCCAACATTTTTGATTCGTTCCTGCAAGAAACAGATACTATGGTTGTTTTTAACAGCTTAAACTTTGCTTGCAGGTGCACAGCCAAAAGTAAACAAAGCTCAGAAATGCCTTGCTAGGAGAAGACTATTGTTAAAGCTACACAAGTTCACAAATGCCTGTGAGAGGGAGTAAATCCAAAACACTGGCCCTCAGCTAACTAGATGGGACAGAGTCCCAGGACCACCGTGATGAAAAATAACATCTCCAACTGACAAAAAATAATACCACCTTACAGAAATCATCCGCCTATAGAAAGAGTTTTAATTATGTGTCCTCGAGCTAGGGGGGCAGGATAGGGGGGAGCATGTTTACAGCATATTACATGTTATGTACAGGTGATGCAAATGGGCAGTCTGATGTTTGGCACACTACTCTGGGACATGGGGATGGCATCTTTCTCCATCTCAAACAGTCCTGTTTTCTTGAAGAAACTTTTTTTTTTTTTTCTCTTAGATTTCAAAATAGCTGCTTCTGTAGAGTTAATACTCAAAGAGAACACATTTTCTCTCCAGGAACATTAGTGTTAGTCTGCATATAAAGTATTTCTGTTCAAAATGGTGTTAGAACCAGAATTACAAGGCTCTGAGGCAGTCTCTCACCTGCCGCAGCTGCAGATCCAGAATTCCCAAACTCACTCTAGCTCACCAGCCCTGCATTTAATTTATTCCCACACCACTAACCAAGACAAAAAGTTCAAGTAAGGTCTTCTTTCAGGGAGTGAGGGAAAGGCTTGTTCTTGAGGAAGAAATGTTTACCTCAAGTATCATCTTTCCTGAGCCAACACCAAGCTTTCCATGGCTGAGGACAGCAGAACACAAGTGAGTCCCACCGGCAGCTGGAGGTTTTCATATACTTGGCTCACATAAACCAACATGAGGCATTTCCATTCAGAGGCTGCACTCTGTTTCAGTGCCCCTCTCTTTCCCAAATAAGGGGATTTGCACTGCAAGGGTTTGGAAACACACTTGAACTGATGTATGAATAGAAAAGTCAATTTGACTTTTGTGGGATATCAGTTTAGAGGAAAATGTCTTTTCAGCCTCAAAAGAAAATGTTACTGGAGAAGAGTCATCACTAGCACAACAGGAGTCCTACATCAAGACTAGGGAAAAAAAAGAGGCTAAAATTCATCTGCTCTTACTGATGCACATTCTCTTCCTCAATATTAAGAGTTTTCTAAGTGCTTTCAGCACCATTTCAAAAAAAAAAAGGCAACCTAGCAAAGAAAAGGGCAGTCTAAAATAATTTAGGAAGACATCTACTTTTCTTTCCACTATGAAGTTTTCTTCAGGGGAAAAAAAACCCTATATTATAATGTGGGTGAATTGCTTAGTATCTCAAACTAACCTTTGCTTGCCCTTCCCTTTCTTTCCTCCTCTTTTGTCAGATTCTTCAGGCATCTTCTTGTAGCTGAAGGGGAAATTGTTCTGTATAGAAGAGTACAAGCCATTTAAGGTTAGATACACAGCTAGCTTCACCCCAGCTCCCAGTCCTCTGCAATTATGGAGCTGCTTAGAGCAGAGGTGAAAGCAGAGCTAGAGAAGCTGCACCGAAGGAGTACAGAGGAGAAAGCGTATCTGACATGAAAAAGGAAAAATTATATTTGCTCTGTCATTCTCTTTTGGGAAGCAGAGAGCCACTTCAGAAGTGCCAGGCTCCACATGCTGACAGCATTGCCAGCTGCATGGCTTTGGAGCATTTCACCAAAACTACTTGGCATCTCAGGCTACCTATACGTTGCCAAGGCATCCAGGAGAGAGACCGTACGGGTGTTATTTGGATGCACGCAACCTCTGCCTGCAGTCACCGTGCAGGTGGCTTCTCGTGTAACTGCACATTTCATTCATTGCTAACTGCAAGCCCCATTTTTCTGTTCCCTATACGAGCAGTTAGTTCAAGATTTTGCACCATAGCTCGTACTGCAGTTCTGAAAATAGTAAACAAACTATTTTTCTTGCCACCTTACTAAACAGATGAAAGAAAGACAGAGGACAAGGACAGTTCGACAATTCAGTCCCATTATAGCAGGTTCATGAGAACAGAAACTCTGTATAACCCTTTCCAGTATCAGTCATCTGTATAAAAACACGACAGCAAATAATTCCAATCAGAGTCTGAATATACTTAAAATATCACCAGTAGAACTCAGAAACATTGCTGAAAATTAAAACCTTTTGCCAGTCATGTGTGCTTACAGGTATCCTGCTGGATAAACCCACCCCTGAGATGCTGGAAACTGTTACGGTTACGCTTTGGTGGGCAGTCAGAGCAGAGGGTAGAGGTGACAAGGCTGGATTTCTGGCAGGGTACTAGCACTACAGTAAAGGATACACTCTGAGTAGCTCTGTTGGTTTTGGATACAACAGGCCTGCTGGGACACTAAAAACCTATTTTGAACTCTAGTCAATCTGTTAATCTATCCCAGGGAATGAAATGCTTCACTGCTTATCACCGCAAGACATGACTGAATGGTGCTTGGGGTTTAAATTACCATATTTAATTAAATGTAAGATACTGAAATGCTTGGGGAAATCCACTAATGAAATTTCACTGGCTGCAAAGCATAGCCCTTGTCATTGTCCCCTGCCAGTGTCCAATCTTCAATGCATTAAAAGGCATTCTTTAGAAAACAAATATTTTTACTGTGGCAGGAAACCTGTCTTACAATTGAAAATGTTTGATTTTCTGCTCTTTCACGGTACTGCCAATATTAATGGTCCGTTAATAAACTTCAATGGCCACAGATTTTCTGATTTACACTCATCAGTAAATGATCTTAGAATTCCTCTCAGGGACAAGAGAGCACAATGAAAGATGCCTGGGAACAAGAGAACGGTAGAAAAAGCAAATTTCACCCTCTGCCATTTTCAGATAATAAAGTATAAATGGCCAGGAACTAAAGTTATGGAAATTGATGTAGCTGTACCCAGTTATCAGCTGCTACTAGCTTTCAGGGATAAAGATGCTGAGATATCCATGTATGTCTGTCAGAGTTTGTCACAATATCTCTATTGAATGTCTCTCACCCACTAGAACAATTTCAGTCTTTAGCCACATATTGAAATTAGACATGCCTCAGGGCAATCTCTCAAAATCCATCTCTATAAAATCCATCTGCCTTAGAAACGCTAAAACAAATTCGTAATCCAAGTCCAAGTCCAGAGGGAACCTTAAGTTGTATATCATTAGGATATTGTGCTTCTGGGTGGTTTCGGGAATTGGTTTTACTCCATAAAAGCCCTCATGGTTTGGGGTTTAGAAATTGCCTCTTTCCCAAAGATATATTGGGATAGTCAGCACCTATGCTCAAGTTTGCAGGTGGGAGTGCCCTCAGCATAAATTAAAAGGACTTCTCTGTAATGGTCAGCCACTCTGGAGTTCACAGAGGGCTACCAAGCAATGTATTGGATACCGTGTTTCCCCAATATTGGAAAGGTGAAAGCAAGGGAGGAAAAATACACACTGGTTCAAAACTCTTTCAACACATGTTTAACACACCTTGCACGTGAAAATATTTGACCAGCTCTTCACATTCCCTTCTGTCTCTTTCAGGTTGCTGCGGAACTGGCTGCCAAAAAGAAGATGGCTTTGCAGAAAAAAGCCCAAAAAGAGAAAAAAGGAAAAGAAGTGAAGGAAAAAACAAAAGGAAAAAACCCACAGAAAACAGGAAATAAAGTAAGACTTCCTGCAGAGAAACCAGTTAGCAGTTTGTGAAACCAGAGCCAAAGTCCAGCCTATTCAGCCACACGTGGGTAGAAGCTCTTAGTTGACATCAGTGTGGTCACCAAGGCTTCGGCCTCGGTTCAGAAGACACAGGAATGGCCTGAGGCTAGTCCCTCTCAGCCTTTCAATTACCTTGATGATGCTGGGGAACTGAATTCTACCTCTCATATTTTAGGAGTGACCATCTGCAGGGCCATGACTCAGCTCAGTGGGATGAGCCGATGTAGGTGCAGACTGCCAGAGACATAGATGAAGGGGAAAAATACACTTCATGGCTTGGACATCGTTGCCGAGACAGCATATATGCACTCTTCAAAGCACTGTTGCTTTTTTTTTTGTGAAGATAAAATGATGCTTGATTATCCAACCAATCACTTCCACTTTTAATGTGGGGTACAGAGAAGTTAGTAACTAACACCCCTGCACATGAGAACTAGGAAACAAGAACCTTAGTCTCACTCAGTTATCAACCTCAGAGCTTGTGTGGATTTCCAACTGATTTATAAGTACAGTTCTGTATTGGCCAGCTGCGTCTTTTGTACTGCAAGGCAATATTTTGTAAGCCTGTAAATAGCAGTCGTGCATTTTCAGTCCACATTCTTAGGGTACGAACTATTTTTTTGCTTCAAGTCACAGTGGACACCACTTAACGTACGATATACTCCCTGAAAGGTTTGATATGCTGAGGCTGGTTTCACAGAAGGTCTGCTTCCAAGTTATTTCAGGAGCAACTTCACTGAGGATAACACCTGTGAAACAGTGCAATGACCAGAGGGCATCTTCAAAAGCAAGCTATGCTACAAAAATTGTAGGCTTTTGCTGAAGCAGCAACTTTTGTTTCTCATTTACTTTATAGTATAAACAAAGTTGAAATATTTTTTTTTTTTTAATGAGTCATTAATCTCTCACTGAGTATGTGGAGGAGAAGGGTGAGTTTTCTGGGGCAAAGCTTATTCCTCACTGCAAGTTCTACACAAATTAATTTTAAGTCCTAACCCTGGAACAGACATGTAACAAAAAAGATACTTTTCTTGGACAACATCCATTGATCTGGCCAAAGCTCTCATAACAGCTATCCAGGAACCTAAACTGCATGAATTTAGGAAGCATCGGTCTATTTAACTGGGAGGTAGATATCTAAGTGTTAACTTGTAACTTGGATAGCATCTTCGCTGGTTGAAAACGCTATTTGAGTCATACGAAACAGCATTTGGGGTTTTGGGGTTGGGTTTTTCCCCTTTGTAAATGAACACGCACAGCAGGCTGAAGGGCCAGCACACACAGATGTGTTTTACAAGCTCTTTAGGCCTGATCTTGCATTGCCAACTAGGAAGGATAGTGGCTGCTCCTGTGCAGAGAGGAAACTTTTGAAGTTCTGGTCATACATGTTTTCAGGTAGTCATTTGTCATCAGGGTCACGCTGTCACAGCATTAGTGAAGGCATCATACTCCAAGCATGGAGGGTGATTACTGGTGCCACTTCGTCATGTCTTTGTGGCAGATCAGAGCCAACCTGGGGGAGCAACAGAGGAGAAAGGAGCATAATACCTGCAGATCTAAGCCAAATAATACTGATACCAAGTTGTTTGTTGTCCATAAGACTTCCAGGGACTTGTGGTAGAGGCGAGGTCAGCTCTGTGGGACCACTTCATGGTGTAACCCCTTAAATCAGCACATACACTGCAGAACTTGATGGAAAAGATCATATAAAAGTACACATACGAAGGCAAAAATCTTAGAAAAGGCAGTTGCAGACACTTCAGTAAGTCAAAGTGAAACACTGATGTTCAGGTACACTAAAAATGCCAAACCCAGCCCAGGCTTCTGAAAGGGGATGGCAACTCGCTCATCTGCTTAAAAACCTGACTTTCACGTGATATATTTGATTTCTTGTTGTTTTTGCACATTTTACTAGGTAAGAACCAACAATATCAAAAATTAATCTCAATCTGCTCACAGTCTCTGCAAGGTTGTTTTGAAATGGGGTGAAATAACAATATAGAGCTCTGGGGCTTTATAACTTCACGTCGTTCTCGTCTCTTCAGCCATCACAAGTCCTGTCAAGTAAAATTCTGAGCCATTATATCAGGTTCTCTATGGTTCATTGAGAAAGAACAAAGGGAACATTCTCTCCAAGGTTATAATACTGACAGGGGAAAAAAATAGTATCTAAGACCAGTTGAGAAGTATTTGGAAAAGTTCTAACAGCAGGACTCTTATTAAAATAAGTATAGGCTATAAGTCATAGTGATGCAGGCAGAAAAAAGCCCTGCTCCTAACTTCAGTTCTTAAAGAAAACAAGAGTTTGATCCCAGAAGGAAGTTTAAATATTTCTGAAAAGCTTGATAGCAATCTTTAAAAAGGCATATTTGATATCAAAGTAACTTAGTTTTCTCTACAAGGTGCTGATTTGATTTCCCATTGGGCACCTAAAAAATAAAAAATAAAATAAAAAAAAAAAACAACAACTTCAGCACCGTATGACCCCTCTTTTCAATAGCAGAACACGTTAGACTAGTCTGGACTGCTTCTCCCAGTAACACGCTGCAACCTGCCTGTCTCACTGAACATGAGCAAGGCTGTGAATCCCTAGTTTTCATCCAGAAATGTTTAACAGTGAGACACGTTTTGTCCTTAGTGAAACCCATTAGCAAAATCTCCATAGCAAAAGCGCACAGGGGAGTCAATTCAAAATTTTCCCTGCTGTTGAATGAGAATCTCCTAGTGTGGGGCTAGGCTTTGGAAAGCCTCAGAAATATATTCAAACTGTTATTTCCATATCTCTGCTTAGGTTGAAAAGCATATTGTCGGTTCAAAGTGCCTTAGTGCACTTAACACAGAACAAGCATGGAATCAATCAGCTGAACATAGAAAAATACATCAACTGACTTCAAAAGAAAAGAAGTTCTTCGTATTACATTGACTCTTATGCTGTTAATAGAAGCAAGAGGGAACACGGAACAGCATTCTGCAACTGTCCTTTAGACACACAGTGGTTTTGATTAAAATCAATGAAACTGACACAACAATATTATTTACATCAGTGTATAAAATCACTGAAGCTAGTAATTAAAATGATTTATTGGCTTATTTGTAACAAAAGAAACATTAATGTGTCCTATGCTATTAAGAGGCTAAAAAGGAATAACCCATTTTTAGGCTGTTTTGGCAGGAATTTTTTTTTTTTTTTAATACTTAGCAGTTATCAGTATTTCCTCTTAGAACACAATGTTTTAATCATTTTTTATAGAATATCATGGAAGAATGTTAAAAGAATGGGTTCTGCCTTCTGCAAAAGATCCAAGGATGAATCTCAAAACGTCACACCCTGCAAAACCTGAGAATACCTTAGAGTAACTGGAAATTTGAGCTCTGGGTGTCAAATCCTCAAGCTCCTGCTTATATTTTGCCCAAAGAGTTCGTGATGTTTAGTCAAGGAACTCCTGAATCTCTTTCAAATACTTCTGTAGAGTATAAGGTAGAAGAGATAAATGTATTTAGGTTTTGCATGTCCTTCTGGGCCCAGACTTTAATTACTATAACAACACTTTAATGAAAAACAGACTTTTAATAATTCACATGACCTGGCTGCAACTGTATCTGCTGATAGCAGGTATGCAATGGCACCTAATTATAGAGGTATATACAAGGGGTTTGTTTCATTTTACTTATAAGAACTACATTTTCTATCTAACTGACAACCAGGGGGTTACAGACTACACATTGGTTAGCTAAGTCTGATACAACTTGTGTTGTCTTGCATAAACCCACATTCACCTCCTCCCCAAACAATGATCTAGTTTCCCCCCTAGTAACTATTATGTTACAGCATTTTGAGGACTTAAAACTAATACAACATGAAGAAACTTTCTTCAATTTCTGACAGTGTTTTCCATCAGAAGTACTGGTTCAATGAAATTAAACTATTTCAGGAACGTGTCAGTGTCATTGACTTTAGAGAGGAAAATGTCAAAATGTTTTGATAAAGTTGAAACAAAATATTTTATTTTGAAAGATACACCAATAGCACTATTTTTCTTTCTAATCACAGATTAAAATGAGGTTTCAAGAGTTTTGAATTGCCCACAAGTTGGGAATTCCTTTTTTTTTTGGGGGGGGGGGGGGGGGGGGGGCAGGGGGAGGGAGGATAGTGAGGAAGATCGGCCCTACAATAAGATTAACTGAAAAAAATAACAAGGCGATTTCATTTACATGTTGCAAGTATACTACCTATATTACATGTTCAAACAAGCCTAACTAACTCTTGTCACCTTAGTAGGTCAACTGATGAACAGACACACCCCCCCCTTCTCAGTGGGATAAAGCTTCCTTATAGCCTACTAGGAAGATTTCTGAGGAATAAAATGCTGTTGTCTCATCAACAAATTAAAACATATATTTAAAAATCCAGTTAAAGTTGCAACATTTTTTTCTTACTTGCAAAGTTTCTACATCTTAATATTCTGCTTTTTTCTTTTCACCCCACCACACCCTCCTGCTCTCCCCAATCTAGGAAGAGGAGGAAGGCTGGAAAATGGCTCCCAGTAATTTCCTTTCAATAATGGAGGAAGGAAACAGTCAATACAAAGGTCAGTAGAAAAAGATAACAATTAGAGCTGGAATGTTCTTCTACTTCAGCTTAATCTGAATGTCATTCTTATAAGGTCAAACAGTGCAGCTGCTCAAACTACGGAACATCATAGAAATGAGGACATTAGATAAAAATGGTATCTAGGAAGGGAGTCTCTCAGTACCTCGAGTGTTCTTAGGAGTCTCTCAGAATCATCAAGCTAATCATACAGGAAGATACAGTTCTATATAAGTGAAAGGAGCCAAGCTAAAACCAAAGTGCTTTTATGTTCACACAGTGGCTTTCTTGGGTTTTCCGAGGGCGACAAAATAACAACTGAATAGCAAATAGTTCAAAAGCACTATTCTGTAGGTCAGGCTTCAGCATCAATATTTTCATGCTCCTACAACTCTTTATCCTGTCTTCCCCTCATTCATGGAAAGTGTCCGTGGATTCATTCACCTACACAATCTACAGCTAGTCAAATTATTTTTTACTACATTTTTCAATATGAAAATCATCTTTTCAAGCAAAGGAACAAAAATGGACCATGAATATACTTGCTTCACTCAGTGTGTGTGTAACTTAACAGACATAAGTCACACTTACAGCTAGGAGACTGGCTGTTTCTTCACTTTGAGAAGGCATCCAGAAGTAGGGGGTTTCAAATCTTAAAAAGTGGTTTTCACAGAAGGACATCTTGCTCTTTTCCATCTCTCTTCTACCCTCGTCTCTACACTTGATGCCTTTGTCTATCTCTAACCTCTTGTCTTCAGTGTGTGCCCTAGATACACAAGTGCGTTAGCCATCACTTGTGCTGGGCCTGGAAGGGAGCGTGGAAGTCATGCACTTGCCTGAAATGGAAAGGAGCATCTGTCCCATCACCTGTAAGTGAAGAGCATGGCAGAACTCTGAAGGTCAGACGAGCCAAATTGAAGTCCTCGGTCGTACAATGTGCCTGATCAAAGCTTTCGGGGTTATTTTTGCTGCATTTCATGCAGATTCGATTCTCAAACAATTAATTAAAAAATATCTTTTCTGCTCCCCACTCAGCAGAGTTAGTGGCTTGCTAAAATTCCTCAGACAAAAAGTTTCCATTATTCCCTCCTGCAGACAAATTACTGGCATCAGGTTTACTGCCTGATTTGGGATGGCTGGAGAGATGGAAGTGTGCAACTTACTTTCTAAATACACACCAACACAGTTTTGCCTGACCCCTGACTTCTAACAACTAGGATTTTCTTACACGTTATAAATCATAAAGCCGTTTTATGGCTAAAGAGGAGTTGTTCATCCCAGACTTGAATGCTACATCAGAACCCCATTGAAGTCAGCAAGAGTTTTAGATAACGCTCAGATTCATCTATGCTTCTTTCCTTAACTGGCTAAGAACATTACTTGTGTTTTTCTACGCACTCAGGGTGAAATGTCACCTTGCAACTGGAGACCAGCAATAGCCACACCAGTGTTTCCCATCCAGCAAGTCCCGAGAGCAATAAAGGAGGAGCATAGAGGCCCTGCAAAGTAGCAACAAGAGGGCAGGAGGGTTTCACATTGCCACATAGACTTGGCAGTGTGATCATCCAGCACTCTGCTAATGAGTAGGTGATGGAGGAGCTGCGTTTTCCAGTGCTCCCAGTGTGCTGCTTGGATCCCCTGCTGAGGCTTTACAGTCTAACAGTCTTCAATTAGAATGCTGAAATGCGAATCCACAAACTCCTTGTATTTGTGCAAATAACTCTCCTCCAAGTTGTAGAAAACGTGTTTGGCTGTACCCTCACACAGAGGGTTTAAACAGTGCTTCCCAACGTGGCAGTGGATGCCAGCGTTAGGAATAAAAACACTGCAGAGGTCAATAGGTTAGCTTAATAAGAATAGAGACTCCCAAATTTCACAGCTGTCTCAAGTAATAACAAGTCAGGGGGTTCATGAGAGGCCGGGGGACGCGTTTATCACCCAAACTTCATCTAAACACCAGTACTGCCATTCCTAACAAGATACCTGCTTTGAGCTCTGGGAGCATATAGCATTTTGGGGTTACTCATGCTAACTTTTTGCATGGAGATAAGTGCTGAATTGGGGTGGTTGTGTTCCTGTATATCTCACAAGGCCTCCCGGGGCAACTCAGCAGCCTATTAACTGTGTGTGGAGCCTGTGTTCCTATTCAGGCACCTGAATCGGGTGCCTAAAGCCAGTCATTGTGAGTACCTCCATCTCCCCATTACGTACTGGCAGCATTTGCAGGTACCCTGCAATAATGTGCTCAGGTAGGTCAGGCACGGGCAGCATCCTTTTGTGGTAGATAAAGACTCCAGCCTGGCATTCAGAGTTAAACACCAGTGCTCATCTCCAGCCCGTCCTGCCGGAGCTGACAGCTACTCCCCTAGCTCTAAATGCACATAAGAAAGAAATATTTTCTGCACAGAGCATGACCAGAAGTCCTCTGAGTGGAAAGAACTCTCTTGCAAGCTTCAAAGAATAGCTGCAGTTCTGTCTTATGCACTGTTAGAGTACATAGCTTTCCAGTTAAAACTTCCTGTGTTTGGGGTTTTTTTCTCCTAGGGAACCAAGTCTGTTCAACACCGTATTTATTTTTAGTAAACAGCTGCTAATTCCTCCATGCAGCCCAATCCCCTGCCTCATTCACAAGCACTTAGTGCTTTTTTATTGCAGGACACGCAATACTACCTGGTGGTTGTTCAGAATAATTTTACTTTTAATCTGGCCATGGATAAGGTTCCTTTTTCAAGGTCACCAAAATCAAATCTAGTACAACTTCTGACCAGAACAGTGTAAGCAGTTTCTTGTATTTTGAATTTTAGCCTGCTTTCACTTCAGTAGCAGAATTGTTTAGAAAAAACAGTTTGGTCTTTCTACATTAGGAACTTTTTTCTCTTCTTATGTAGAAATAGCTCAGTAACTATCTCAATTTGCACATAAATTCAAATTTATTAGTGCATAAATCTTGAAAACATCATTGAATTAAGGGATCTTGATTAAGAAAGATTTATATCAGATGCCTACAATGAAATAATTTAAAGACCCTTATAAGTCTGTCTAAAGTTTACCTAAAATGATAGCAACAAACATTTTTGTTTAATCACACACCCACCCCCAACACTTACAATTAATAAGGTCTTCCCATCCCCTCAGACTGGTTGCTTTGTTCTTAGGTCTCTTAAATATTTAAAAGGACGTAGCTCAGTTTTCACAAAGATCTAAGCATTTCAGTTAGACTTTTCCATCCCTTTTTTTTTTTTTTCCTCTACCAAACTACTACTTAAACTTCACTGTAATTCATGAAGACTTTTATTCTTCTAGAACTGTATCTGGCAGTTTTGATAGTTGCTAAACTACACTTGCCAAGCTCTAAAACACTTATTTTATATACTGTTGTTGGAAACAGCCAGTTTCTGTGTGACATCTACACACTGGAATAGCAAGTTTATGTGGAACAAATGTAAGCAGTCCAATTCATTACCTGAATCTTCCTGGGGTTTGTTTTTGCAGTACCCAGTCCTGTGAGGCAGCAATGTGTTATTGCCTCATTCTACAGATCTCCAGTTGATGTTTATGACTTGCTCAGTGTTACAGAGGATATTTGAGTTGAACCCAAATACTCCCTGGCCCAGACTTTAAGGTGTGGTCATATTATGTTTTTTTAACCAGGCATCAAAAGATTCAACCTCCTGGCAAAAGTATTTGAAAGTAATAATTTTTAAAATGTGTCATGCTTCAAATAAACATATTTTAATTATTAGTCACAGCTGTTCTCTGAAATTCAGGGATATTGGAATTACCTACTAGTCTGCAGAGTGAAAACTAATGCTGCTGAGATGGTGATGTTAGCAGTCACGTTAGTGGACTGGGCTGTCTTTTGAGTCCTGAGCTAGAGGTATGCATATAAATTAATCCAAAGATAATCATGCACTATTTTAGAATAGGTGATATAAATTGCACTGCATACACACACGCACAAAAATAGCTCCTGTCGCCGGATGACCCTGTCTGTAACAAAATACCAGAATCTTTTGACCAGCCAGTGAAAACATAACATCCTTAGCCTCCTGACCTTACTTTAAAAATAACTTTGAAACATTTTGTTGATCTATAAAAGAACAACATAGCATCTAACACCTATGAGTTATTGATCTCTCTTCTAAAATTAGGGACCTCTAACCTAGTGGCTAATATAGCACTCAGAAAACTCATTGCCAGGTAACAGAGGCAGCTGCCTAATCTGTGGGGATTGTCACTGGTTGGCCTGCAGTGGATATTAACCACTAATCAATTTACAAAATGACAATAAACAATTATGAAAAAAACAGAGTAAAAATCTATGGATCCCTCTATGAAAAATAAATATCTAAAACCTAGTACTCCTGTGAAAACATAGCACTTACAACCTGTTGACCCAGTGAGGAAAAGCATTTAAAAATTCATATAACTCCCATGTAACATCCCCTTTCCCCAAGGCTGAAATTCCAGGCTAGTAACCCTGGAGGAGGTACCTTTTAACTAGGGCAAATCAGCTTTCCCTCTTGAAATATTACGTGTCATCTGTCATGCCATCTGATGACCCGCAAGTAATTTAAAGAAATTAATGTCTATACCTTTGAGTTTCTTCCCTCATTACCAAACAATCCACTGTCCTTCTCCATCTCTACCGTTTTCAGTTATGAAATTAAGACTACTCACCTGCAAAAACTATTCCCTATGTGTAAAGCCACAAATACTCTGCACGTAATTGAACTCGGAAAATTCGTAGGGGATGGAAATAGCAGCCAGTATTGTATTAACTGGACTAAAACTTGAATGATCTCCTAAGGGTACTGTGAAAACCTTCCAGAATTTATAGTGCCTTAGAAATGGCAGTGGGTACAGGAAAGAGTACCCTGTACAAAACACTTTCATAAAGAAGTCTATGTCTTAAAGTAGGAAGCTATCATTTTAAATCATCTGGAAATTGAATTAGCACAGACTGCTGGAGATTAGCTGTCATTTATAAAGATACTGTCGGGGCTTAAAATGCAAGGAAATGTAAGGTATGAATTGTCTTCCTTCAAATTATCTCAAAAAATGTAGAAAGAAGAGAGGCGTTTCCAATAATAAAATAAAAAAAAAAAAGTACATTTTGCTAATAGCAGAGAATTCAGATACGCACTGAGCTTGCCAGACTTCATTTAGTTTTCTTTCTAAGGAGCAAATTGCATCTTGCCTCAAGAAAAATAAAAAATTGCACCTCAGGATCATTAGCTACTTCATCATAAACGAGGGGGTTTTTGATCATCAGTTTGCACAAGCTTGCTTTGCTCTTAGAGTGAGGTCTCATTATTTATCCTTTACACAAGACTAAGAAATGGAGGTGCTATATCAGGTGGGCCTTGTCTCTTTTTGGAAAAGGCATCGAATGCCTCTTCAATTACTGCAGCAGCTTAAAACTCCCCGGAGTTAGAACTGTGTGGCCATATGTCACGTGTGGGTTCGATGCAGGTCACTGCTCTGTCGTCGTGGATTCGCTGTCCCCTCACACTCCCATTTCCACGTTCTCCATGCAGGCTTGTATGCCTGTTCCAGTGCTCCTGGCCCGTATTGCAGCCTCACGTGAATTACTACAAAGGCTAACTCGCAAGGTTTAACTTGGCATTAGTTAACTAAGCAAGAGAGAACAAGGAAATTTCCTGCTTTCAACTAAACACCTTCCTTTGGTCCCCAAGCCTGCACTATGTCAGCCAAGAGACATGCATGGACAGCACACTCCTCAGGACAGGAGCCATCTTTGTGACTTCTTCATGGTAAAGATTTAAGCTCTATGAGATTTAAGCTCTATGCTATTAAACAGAGAGCAGAAGAATGCCAGTATCAGGCATGATACAGTTTGGCCGACACTGTACTTACTACCTGCTCTTGAAGATGAACACCACTCCAGGTATTCAGCTTTAAAACCAGAAAATGACAGCCTCCATACCCCACCATCCTCCGGAAATCTGATAACTGTTTACAGCCCAAGGCAAAAAACAGTTAACCTCAAGTTTTAGGGATCCTAACACAACACGGTTCTGAACTTGGTAAGGGTCCCTAGAGCCTGCTGCTTTCATACAGCTCAAAATTTAATAAAAGCTGCCTACAACCACCTATTTTTTGCCTCCAGAAGCAGTTGGAGAAACCAATGGCTTCTGTAACTTTTTTCCCCCTTTCTTCTTTCTTTTGGATAACAGCCATTTGGCAGAAGAGAGATGAGGGATGGGATTTTCTCCAGGATCATGACCCGGAGCTGATCAAAGAAGAGAAACGGGAAGAAGTGGAGGAAGAGATCAGAGTGCAGGTGTGCTTACAATAGTAAGAGGACACTAATAATGTGCATCGCCTGTGTACATTTCTCTACAGCTGTAAGAACTGGCCCTGGCATAGACCTTACCTCCTTCCAGAGTCCCTACTATCTGTTCTTTGCTTTAATGCTTGCTTAGCTGAACATTTGTCTGAGGTGTGGTGGCAGAACAGAACACTTAGAAAGATTCAACTGTGTTTGTCTGGATAGGTTGATGAATTGATGCAACAGAAACTGGAGAACCTCAAACTGGCTGTGGATAAAGAGAGGAGTGACAAACAGAAAAAAGGAAGTAAAAGTGAAAAGGTAAGAGGAGCAAGTTGGGAGAATGTAGGGTAAATCTCACTTCTCTGCCCAGATACCATGATATTCAGTGCAAACCCTAGTCTCACAGATACCAATATCAAAATGTCCACCCTAAACATTTACTGAATCTCAAGTCAGAAGCATTTAAAAAGCTATTCACCTGTGCCTTTTTTTCAGAGTCTTTTCCTTTAGCTGTTATTTTTCCTTAACCTTTATAAATACTGCTTAGGACACGTTGAACTATTCCAGAAAGAAGTCATTACAGGATAGATCAGATTTTCAAGAGGGATACACACCCTCTTGAAATCCTCTGACCCAGTCAAACAGGAAAATCCAAGCAATGCCTCTAAGGTGTCAGCTTCAGATTAATACAGTCTTCCAGGGCAGGCATGCACCTGGGTGACAGTAAGTTTTCCAGCAGCTGCATGTTTTCATCTTAAATGAGGACTGGTCAATGTGTTTCAAAACTGTACAACAACAACAAAACAAAAAAAAAAAAAATCACTTTGAAAGTTTTGGTGTAACCTTTCATTTATCTATAACAACACATATCACATACAGCCAGGTACACATTGTTTAATTGTGTTTACTAGGTATTATTGAAGGGTTTGGGAACTTGCAATTAAGCCAAGTTTATTTAAGCATATAAAATAAGTTATTTTTAATGTGTGTTGCCCACTGAAACACAGCACACATCACGTTCACATCCAGTTTCACCGTATTACCATATGCAGAATTCCACAGCTTGCAGTTCCCCGAATTCCTTACCCAAGCATTTAAACTATAGATCATGTCAGTGCAAAATAACTCAAAGCTTACAGACCCTACCATTCAATCAACAGATCCACTTAAAATCCTCAGGGCAAATAGCCAACCCTAATCTCATGTTGCATTTCATTTCTATAATCCCTTTAGCATGCAAATACTTGCTGTTGCAGTACTTCTACTCAAATTATCTTTACCAATGTTCATTCACCTGATAAACGTGCAGGGACAATTTAATAATGAAAGACTGGAGTGACTCTGAAAACTGATACCAATTGCATTGCTAAATCTGTTTCAAAAATAGGGAGGTCTCAAGATACACAGACAAAATATTGCAACAATCTTCCCAAAGTTGCCATGGGCAGAAGCATTCAGATCAGCTGGTCAAAACTCTGCTTCAAAATGTCACATTGGAATTATAAAGCTTTATGTTGGGGTGGGTTTTTTTTTTTCCTTCAATATAGTGTTGGAATGGTTTGGGGTGGAGGGAGTTTATTTAACTTTTGTTTTCCCAAATTGTGCCAGTAGCCTGAGAGAAAGAGGGAGGAGGAAAGAGGTGAAAGAAGTGCTAATTAAATAATACAAGTTCCCTAAAGATTTTCCCAGAAAAAATCAGTTCTGTTTTAGGGGTGGGGAATGGAAGGAGGTATCCAGTTTTAGCCAAATCACATCTTTCCTATGCAAAACTGTTTGAAATGTTCAATTGGCATTGGCAAAGGCTTTTTCTAATTAGTGTTTGTATAAGTATCTGAGTCCATAAACCAACAGTGTGTACATACCTGTGCACACAGAATTCAGATGTGCTTTATGAGAACCTGGCCTATATAACAAGAATAATATGAGCTGGAAAGTTTTGGAAGCAGCTTATTAATTTGTTATTCAGCAAAAATCCTCTAGTTTTCAAGGCACGTGTTACCACATCCTAGGTCCCATACGTCTCCCCCCCAACTATGCAATGTGAAATAACATTGGGTTTGGATTCTCACTGTAGCCATGAATGCATCTGGAGCATGATGTAAAACTTCTTTTTCCCCAGAAAAGGGTATTCTGCAAAGAAAAGCATTCTCAGGAACATTCAACATTCTTCAGAGAAATCAAACCTTTTTCTGCACTCTGTCAGTGGGGAATGGGTAGCAAGGGTAATTTCTTCAAGTGAACTCTTAAAAGCAGAATTTTCTGTCTAGGGGCAGTTAAATCAAATTCATGATGCCACACTTGGCCTCCTGTCTGTTGTAAGGAGGGATTTCTTCTACTTTCTTTGCAGGAGGACACCACGGTAGAACTAGGGCTTCTGTTGTTGTCACTACCCAGGGGTGTAGAGGATAGATGTCCTCAGCCTTTTCAAGCACACCTTAGGATAAGCAGTTTACAACTTCCAAAAATTCTGTCAAGTCCATATTTAAATAAAAGAGAAAAAAAAATCTGCCTTATCCATAGGAGGCAATTTGAGTTTGAAATCCTGTTTGGAAGTCCCTTTTGCGGACAATTCAACAAGGACATTTTGGAATTGGACTCCAAAGGAAAAGCAGAAGCTCCTCTCCCAGTCCATGTTTCAGATGTCTCAATAAACTAAATTTAACAGCTCCAGGCATATCAGTAGGCCACGCCTTTATTTCCATGCACTGCACTTTCTAAGCTGAACTTTATCACTGACTCCCAAATATTCAAATACCACTTAGTGCTGAAACGTGACTCTTAACCCTACCAAGAATTGCCCCTGGAGGTAAAAAGCCCATTTACCACCTTTGTGGAAGAATTATCTTGGGTGGAAAGGCACATTGCTCTTCCCATTACAAACAGGTCTCCAGACCAGTAGGCTGGTCTGGAAATACCTAAACTAATTAGATTGCACTTCCCTGGAAGGGTTCAAGGCCAGGTTGGACAGGGATTTGAGCAACCTGCTCTAGTGGAAGGTGTCCCTGCCCGTGGCAGAGGGGGTGGATCTTTAAAGATCCCTTCCACCCAAACCATTCTGTGATAATACACAGCAAGCCACAGTGCTATCGTTTGAGGCACAGATCCTGTGCCTCTACCCATGTTGGAAGCATCTCACACAACAGTCTGTCCCACTGTTATTTGTCCTTGTGGTCCAGCACTGATAGGGTATAGAGCACAAGTGTCCTCATTAAGAGACACACTGTGCTGGACTCTGCTCCAGATAGCTCCTGATTTGATGTTCTGTCACAGGAGAGGGGATGGGGACACAACAGAAACAGAGGAATGTGGTTCGGCTTTGCTGCAAAGTGCATTTTTCTTCCCTGTGCACAGTGGCAGCTTGTTATCTGCCCAGCCATGGATCAGCAAGCTGGTATCGTAAGAATCTGTGTGAAAACAGGCTGAGGGATGATTTGAAGGGAGATTGCCTCCTAGTGAGGGATATGGCACTGATGTCTAGGAAAGCTGACAAAGAGATGTCAGAAGGTCTAAATCCCCACTCAGCCTAGAGGAGCCTGTTGTAGAGCACCTGAAGTGAAAGGACTATCATTTTCCAAAGTATTTGATTTCTAAAAAGTTGGTGACATCCTTGTGCCAGCGCAGACTTTTTAGTGAAATGCTGTTGTTCTGAGTCCACCCCTTTCTGCTGACAGCTCAAGCTTCTCATTTGGGTGGCTCAACACAACCCGCCAGCTTTACAAGTATTTCTTCTCGATGGATGCCACGTACCCAACCATGGTACGCAGAGGGCTTACAGCCAAAGGTGATTCTCCTGGGAACCACCACAGACCTAACTTCTTTAAACTGGCTTTCCACCCAACATAAGAGCTGACAGATCTGCTTTCTGCAGTTACTGACCTGGAAGTTACATTTGAGTGCTTATCAGAGTGCTTTTTATCAAACCCATTGTGCTGCTTTTCCTGCTCTGCTCCCCCAGGGGTTTGTTTCGGATCCAACTGCAGGTAAAGCAACCCATTGCAAGTGAACACACCCACACATACACAAAGGCATGGCCAGAATTCGGAAAAAAAAGGAAAGAGGGGACATGGGAACTTGAGTGTGTAAGAGTTGCTTCTGAAATAGGCCTTGGATATTGACATCAGTCTGAAGACTTGGTAAAAGGAAAACCATAGTGAATAAGGCCAGAAGGCAGGTTGGGCCAGAATTGAGGAAAGTCTGGGTTTGGGGACAGTGATTCACAACCCATGTTGGATTTTCTGTAGCTGATGAAGAATAGCACTCAGAGCTCTCAACCAGCTGTGGGGGCTGTAACCTCTTTGGATGCTGTAGCTAAATCCGACAGGGATTACAGATCAGAGCCCCTCATTTAGCAAGAGCTTAATAATCAGTGGGATCATCTTTGTTTAAGGATTTTTTTCATTAGAAGTATCAGAAGCTACTCTCTATATCTTGGCATTGCCAGAAAAAAATTTCTCAACCCAGAGCAGATGCACACACAGTGCAAATCGGCACCTGCTCAGCCTCCCATCATGATCCAAGCACCACACATGATCCAAGAAATCCACTCAAACACTTCACAGACTGCTGCTTATACACTGTCATTTCCCTTCAATCACAGGACTGCTTTCCTTTAGTTACTTTTCCATTGACTCGGTGGTAGTAGCTGCAGACAGCTGATAGCAGCGGGACTTGTATGATCACAGCCAAAGGGTGACACAGATCCTGCAGTTCCAATGTGGAACAGTTCTCTCAAGGAGACATTTTGGCTAACCTCTCCCTTCTGGTGCCGGAGACACTCCGCTCCGGAATCTGGTCTGTGTTTGCTCGTAGCAACCTCTGCGCTACTCAAAACATTTTCCTGTGCCCACACAGTAAGACAAGATACCACACTGAGCGCGGAAGGCAGTCTTCTGTCATCTGCCAGCTAATAGCTAATGCAGTTCACTACATGTGACTTATCAAAGCAGAAAATAACCGAGTAAATGGATGGCTACACAGAAACTAGACTGACATTTCAGAGATAGAAACAAGGAGATATCTGTTATAAATGATGAGCGTGTTCACATTCATTAAACATTATCATTTTCTAAATAAAAGCAGTTCCCAATAAGACATTTTGGAGGAAAGCCATTGTCTACAATTCATATTTCCCCTTATCGCATCTCAGTGTTTGCCAAATTTCCCATAAATGCTGATGTTAATTAGGAAAACACATTTTCCCCCTGCATAGTTCATTTTTGTTTTGCTCTTGAGTTACTTTATTGGTGAAGCTGCCTTGAGGACAATACCAGTTGGCCAATAAATTCAACATATGTTTAGTGTCTTTACATAGGTAGAAATGAGCTTTCCTTCCCAGTCAGACCCCATGATATGTAATTTCTAGCTTGTTGGAAGAAAGGTTAAAGAGACAAAGCTGGAGGAACAGCACAAATAAACCGCTGACAGTCGCAGTATTTCCTCGGTTGTTAAAACAGCATGGCATATGCTTTGTTCTTCCCATTCCTTTCCTTTAAAACAAAACCCCACTGGCACATTCTAACGAGTATTTGCTGCCAAGCTTATTTATGTAAAGCAACCTGAGGTGTAGTTCGGCAGAGTTGTTTGCATTATTCTAATCCAAAACTTAAAAACATCACCTTTTCCCAGTAAGGTTATCCATATAGTTCTGGGTTTAATTTACATTTTCATCTATATTATCTATGGCGCCTTGTAAACAGTAACAGGTGATGGAACCATAGGTTATTTACATTGCAACTGTCCTTGAAAAGTTACAATTGATATATTTCTGAACACTGCCGATCCATTCTAGAAAAAAAAAACTCAGCATTTTTCAGATAATTGGATAGGATTTTTTTAATTCAACAACATAGCCTCTAGAGCTCTGCAGAAGTATTCACTATTAAAAAATAAACTATTGTATTCCCAGGAAAGTGAACATAAGCTTTTGCAAAGAATAAGCTGTCTTGATCACCTAAGCACATGCTTAAATTTAAGCTGTTGAAGAGATCCCATCATGTACAAATGTCACTGTGTAAATAGTCCGACTGAAGTCATTCTAAAGTGCTTTGCAGAACTTAAGTATGGGCACAAGTGGTGGGCACTAACATGGATTAATGACTCCCACTCCACTGCTAATTATCCCTAACCATATTTATGGCTTGTGAGTTGTAATTAATGGAGGGGCTTGACATTACTGATTCACATCTTTCTTATTTATGTTTTCCATGGGGTATTTTGCAGTATGCAAAGAAGTTAGTCACACAAGTCAAAGTCTTCCCATAGTGAAAGCGTGGTGAAAATATCAAGAGAAGAGCAGGTCATGTTTTTCTGACCTCTTCAAGCTTCTTCCCTGAGGCATTAGGAAAGAAAAGGCAGAAAGATATCTTACGGTTAGGATGCTAGCTAGAGACTCGGGAGGGTTGGTTTTGGGTCCTGGTCCAGCTGTAAGCACCCTGCATGGCCCTCAGGGAAGCCGCTTGTATATTTTACCCCAATGTGAAACAAAGCATGAACGGTCTCCGGAGAGGCTTCTTGGACCCCCCACCCTTTTCCTTCCTGCTTCCCTCTTGGGTAAGGGCCATACCCATTCAACTACGGAGTTGTGCTCCAAAAAGGAAGGAGAGAAGAGTTTTCTCTCTGAGCAAATGGCCCTGGGAAGCTTTTGTATGCAACCTACACTGGAAGAAGCAGGACTGATCACTCCGAAGTACGGTGCTCGTGGGCACTCGCTGGGGAGGCGGCAGTTGCAGGTCAGGTATACAGGCTCCCCGGGCAGCTGTGTTCTAGAAGAAAGCAGCAGCCACCAGGTTACTTCATGCAGAGTCCAAGTCAAGGGCAGACCCTGCCCCAGGGTCTGCTTGAGACTCATAGGTTGGACACAGCTCCTCAGCCCAAGGGCGCTTCACCTCTCCTGTGCCTTGGTGAGGCACTTACAAATGGGGACATCTGTGCTTTTATAAACAGGGACATGATTTGCTTCCCTCAGAGCATTCAAAGATATGATTTTTCCCTTTGGGTTCCTTCAGTAACAACGGTCACATTCAAAAACTGAAATAGTTGCTGTTCTGACCCTCACTTTCCTTCAGTATATTCAAATATATTTATAGCTGTACTAAGATCACTAATTTCTACCTGTTTTCATGGTCCTCAGAAAAAAAAGACAACCATGAGGAAAAAGATACCCGAGATGGAAGAAGATCTAACTCCTGACAGGTAGAAAGAGAACCTGTTTACCTGGGATTCAGACAATGAGACTGCATCCTTTTTGCAGTAGATATGCTATCAACCCTTTTAGTTTTCAATTACACAAGAAGCATCTCAACAGTGCTATGCTTACCAGCATCAGGAGCTCTACAATAAAAAACCCCCTCCTTACTAACAGCTGTAAATAACCATTAAAAGCCTAGATGATTAAAAAATATATATATATCTTTTACAAACTTGAAGCACATACACTTTAGCAAAAACCCTTTTCACATTCACAGTGAACGCTACAACCTTCCCACTGCCCCTCCCTGACCGATGACTTCACAGCACCACAAACAACAGGGCAACAAAACACTGCTTTGATGCTACACACCACAGACCTTGTTTTTCCCCATTTTCAACAACGCATACAAATTAAGATCCCCATTCTGCAGCAACACACCGCCAGGGCCAGTCTCCATTAACTTCAGTCAGGTTAATTCCAGTACGCAAAGCTACACACATATAACATTTAGGCAGAGGAGTGGACACGTTTGCCTCTTTCCCATCCAGAAGCACCTGGCAGTTTTGTTGACTGTCAGATTTTCCATCCCAGCTGAGGCCTGATAAGGGAGGCTGCAGACAGGACCCTGTACTCTATAAATCACCCTTTACATCTGAGGTATAATGTACATGCCATAAATCAATCTTATTTATCAATAAGACTTCTGGCAGACCTGGCAATTTCTTGTGCACCTTTGCTCTTTGAAGCACCTTTATTTTATTTGGAGGATTTGAGAGGATTTCTTCTTTTGACGTTACATTTTCAGTGGGCTCGTGATGCATTCGTGATGATAATCTGGCCATTTTTCACCTGTACACATAACAGACTCCTACGCAGAGATATCACCGCTGGGACCTGCTGACCCAGCAGCAGTGCAGGGCAGGAGCAGACCCAGCTCCCAAGAGAGCAGGGCTGGAGAACAGCATGGAGACAGACACACTCAATCACTGCAGGAGAAAGCACATGGGATTCACCCCTCAAATCCATTTGTACAAGACATGCACAACAAGACCTGGACTAGATCATTTGGGTGCTAGCACTACACAACCAGTCAATGATCTCTTTGTGTGCCTTGAAATTAAAAAAAACCAAACAAACAAACAAAAAAAACCACAAAAAACAAACTCTTCAAGCAAATATTTAAAATAAATGTGTCATGAATTATAACAGAGCATGACCTCTCTTACAAGAGCAGCGCCAAAGTCTAACAAGCATGCATATATTCTGTGCTTTTAAAATTATTCTTCTACATACCTGCTTCTTTATATATGAACTTAGTACAACATACAGCCATTTAAGAACACAAGCCTTTTAGTAGCTGGCTTTTAAATCAGAGTTTAATGTGGCATTTTGTCTCCAAGCTTTGCTCTTCCCTGCTGAGCAGGGAAGGAGGAAGCATTTCAAAAATAACCAAGAGAAGCTCAGGTTCATCTCTGTTTTGGCATGGTGGAGGGGGCACAGGGGGCTTTAGTCAACAAAGACTGGTCACATCACACTGACTCGGAGGGGACTCGGGGCATGCATCATTAAGCTTGCACAGTAAAAGTAATAAGACAGGAAAAGTAGAAGTCATGCTCCCAGAACTGTCAGGTTAGTCCCATCCTACCTTCCGGTTGTTTTATGATGCATATTCAACATGAAAATCACCGAGAATGAAAGCAAGAGTCAGAGTGGCAAAATCAACATTGTTGAAGGTGCGTTAAATTTTGCATTTGCTTATTATTACTCCTATGTTAATTGTGCCACTAACACAGCATAAACGTAAAGCTTCCCAGCTGAAATGGAACAAGGCCACAGACCTCAAATTATATATGTAGTTTTATTAGCCAGCTGAGAGTTGCTATAAAATATTTTTATTGTAGACATTCCAGAACGTCCCAATTAAGATAGGTGGCAAAGACAAAAAATGCTCAGGTATTGAAGGAAGAGGATGTGAAAAGTGCACAAACAGTGAAAGACCTACAAAGGTTCAAATCAGTATTGTTTATACTAGCAACACAACGAGAATTTCCAACTGGCTTATTCATTTTATGTAATCCTTGAGGCATTGAAATTAATAGATAGAACTCTGAGAGTGTGGAGAACATCCATGCCAATAGAAAACCAGATACAAGTGTAAGCGTATTAAATCCTCAGTTCCTGGGAGATAAGCAAACTTTCCACTGGAGCAGTTATGCCCGTTTCTACTGGATGCTTTCCCCAACGTCCTCCTTTGGCCAGCATGACCCTAATGCTGCAGAAGATGGACCAATGGTTGCTCTGATCGAGTCATTCCCACTATGTTCCTGATGAGATGAGGCTGTCTACTGCAAACAGAATAAATTCCAAGAAGAATTAATGAATTACTAACTAATTGGAGAGCTAAGTGAATAGGTACAGTAGTGTTAGGATTGCTATTATTGTATAATTTAAAAATAATTTCCCAGTAATTGATATTAATGAATGAGTCTATTACACAAGTCATAACTGATCTTGCATCACCTGGAAACGGGTAATGGAATCTGTGAGAGGGAGCTGTGCGGTGTGTGAGGTAATAAAAGAGATTCCTTGCCATAACGCAGGAAACGGTATTTATTGATTTCATATTGATGGCACTAATCACCTCTACCTCTGAGCTGCAAAATACATTTATAAAGCTAAGGAAACATAAATAACTTTTCAGCTAGTTCAGTTATTGAAGAACTGAGCTTTTACTTACAGTGCCCTACAATTTCTGAGTGATGTCTCTTGTCCGTAGGACCATCGATTCTCTGTACAAGGAGCTAGTGGAAGAAGGATTACTAATAAAAGCCAAGACCGTGAATCTCTCCGATTATGTTGGTAAAGTACACATTTTACAGCTAATACGGTGTTTAATCTGACCAAACTGCCAGCCATTCAGTGTTCACTGACCCCTATTTCCAGTCAAGAGTTAGTTCAAGAGTAATTATAATTTCAGGACTTTCAAACTTGAATATCTAAAGCCACGTACGCAAATCAAGTCTGCTTCTGCAGGGTGCTTAGTACCTTTCACTTCTGCTACTGAAACCAGGACCTGTCTGTAAAGCTGGTGCTTCGCTCCAGGCGCTAACACCTGGAAAGCTTGAATGGTTTTGGATGTCACAAGCTTGGTGGAACCAGGACATCCTTTAAGGTCCACTGGACAGGCATCGGCAAAACAGCGCAAGTCTATCAGACTAGGGGTCATAATTCATCCAGAATATTTCCCAGAGAACAGCAAAAGTCATACCTTAAGCATTTGTTCATTCAGCAGAGAAGACTCACCCCCTTCCCTCCACCTCCCTGACTGCCCATGAACTTTGAGCAGTGCTTTGAGGCATATCTGGCCCTAGATTTGAGTAAGATGTGTCTCTGCCTAGTTCTGCATTTCACAGTCCTCCTGCCCAGTCTCCGTTACCTGCAGCTGCAGTCAGACATGCTTGCCTATTCTTTACACAGAGCAAAAATAAAAAAAAAAAAAAAGCCACTTGCAGGCTGCACAGGGGTCTGACACCATCTCCAAAAGCATTTGGTGACATACAGTAAAATCAGCAACCTTAGCAGCAAAACCCCCCAAGGTTTAGTTGTTTCCAAGGCCACCGTTATTTGAATTTGCAGACATCCAGAAGCCACAATGCCACTGGCATTTTATATCTGAGCCAGAAAAGCTAGATTGTTGTACTTCACCTCTAAATGCCATGTTTACATAAACTCTTAGGAGCAACAATTATTGCCTTCAGAGTCTTTGCCCACTCTTTTGAAGGCTGAATTAACAAGTATTCAATCCACTTTACGCTCATTAAAGATCATGAAGTAAGTTAATGGAAGATTTTCATTATTCCTTCATTCACCCAACCAATACCATCAAGGTCACTTTTGTCCAAACATTCCCTACCACAGACCTTTTTGAAGCACATCTTAGCCAGTGGATAATAATTAACAGCTGGTAACATCAGACTTTGAAACAGGCTGAGATGGCTTTGGGCCCTCTTCCCTTGACACTGAGCTTTGAAGCCTTGGCTCCTCTGCAGCGCAGAGCAACACGAGGGTTGCTCCAAGTGACGGCAGCAATGCTCACTTCCCAGCAGCAGAAGATACTGGGCATAGAAGCACAGAGCCCAGCAACACCCACCCGGCTGCCTACGCCGGTGTCCTGGCCCAGATGCTGGCCCAGGCAGACCGGGCAGCAAGGAGGTGGCTCAGACTGTCCAAGCCAGCTCTTCCCCACTCAAAACTCAGTCATGCTTCTGAGCTGCCAGAACAAGATACAGAAGGTATTTAAAGTTGGCCTAGGATCCGAACCTAGCTGCTTTTTTATTATTTTTGTTTGTTTGTTTTAAATCAAAAAAAACCCTCCCTTCAAGGGTCCAAGGACCTGCAGTGAAAGCCTGCAGAAAAATAAGTCCTCATCTGCTCAGCTCTTACAGGGCTGAAGTCTAAGGAAGGTCACTTACTCCCAGTTCCTTAGGAAAGGACAAAGAGTGGAATTGTGCTACACAGCAAGTAAAGGCACTGAAAATGTCCCCCCTCTATGACAAACTGACATCACTGAACTAATTTTCTTGGTGACCTTATCTAAATTAGTCAGAGAATATCCACTGTGATTTATGTTCAGTTGCAATTAAACCCTTTGATGCCTTCTAATTAAATCTGTGAAGATTAATTCCTATCCAGTTCTTTTGATTTCTCCTTAAATAAAAGATAAAACCTGAAATGAATTTTATTCTTCAGAGGGGATGGGGCAGTTTCACCGGGGCTTGTCTGCCTTTTTTTGCCCCCAAATTACAACTCCACTTCCTCTCTTAACCATCGCTAATTTACCTCTGCTCCAGAGAGCTCTAGTGATCTCCTTTTTTACCTCCAGTAAAACATAATATACTATTATTTTTCAATAATATTCACCATAATGACATGCAATTTGTGCTAAAAATAATCATTGATTACATCGTCACAACTACTTTTCCTGCTTGTGGCCCATCCTTCTGGCTCTTTGTTCTCTAACGTGTCTTGTATATGGACTTTGACAGAGCAAGCAATGTGATTATGGCTCTGAGAGCTGAGACAAGATTAGATCATTTCGGTTCATGTCAGGGATTTTTAGTTTTCTTGGCTTGTTTTGTGGAGGTTTTTTTGAACCAAAAATGTGAACTGCAAAAAGCAAAGAGCCCCACCAAATTAGGCAACACTCTTAAATGTCTAACATAGCGAGAAGCCACGATGCGATGCAGCCAGGGGAAAGCTTGTTAAAATACATTTCCCCCTTCTTGAAATCCTTTTGATAGAGCATGGTTCACTGGAATTCTAGCCTTGCAAAATCCCAAATCTAGAAATCCTTTGCCAGCAGTGTGATTTATGGTGCTACTAATGATTCTTCTCCACAAAGTTTCTTTAAAAGGTTACTGAAGACCGACTGCTCTGCTGAACGCCTTCCAGAGTCTGGAAGGGAAAGTCCACCGTGTGTTTAACTTCATTTTCATTTGCAGTTCACCTTTCAGATTTCTCAGGGCCACATTCCACAACAATATTGCCCTGTTTGAGTCCTTGTCCCTTGACAGTACTGGGTTTGCTGAGAGCACGTTATATTGGTATTCTGTGGTAGTTTTTCATTACTTGAGTTATGCATTTTATAACAATGCACTGTCACATTTATTAAGCCCATGCTTCCTCCCTACAGGCGAGTACAGCTATCTGGGGACCATACTTCGTCAGGCAGATATAGAACCAATGCCCTCTCTTGCAGATGTCAGGCAGCTAATAGCGCTGTATGGAATACTGCCATTAGGTAAGAGCACAGCAAAAATTACTAGAGGGCAGAATACAATGGCTTTGCTTCCTGTCAGTAACATGCATTTTTACTGGCTTTGACAGGGCTTGATTAATCGTAATCTAAAGCATTTTGCAGTATAATTGTTTTTCAATTAAGCCTTCTGAGTGAAGACCATATCATTTTAATAGTGCATAAAGGAGCTTGCACATGCTATTGTCAAGTATTGCGTTTCCATACCGTCTCTGTTTGCATGTTAACAGTTTGCGAATGGCAGCACATAAAAGGAAATCACTTGGGAAAGATAATAGCTAAAACAAGCTCCAGTGATCAAAATTAATCAAGTTAAGGGAAGGGCTAAGGTTGCAATTTACCTTTTACAAGCTGGCTAATGTTACTCAGCACTAAACAATGCAATCGTTTAAGGAATTAGTCTGAATACATTTTTACATCAGAGAGAACACTTTTAAATGCCCTTGCAGTTTTAATGCCAGACTTAGCCAATACCTAACAAGACTTTGCTGGGTCATGTTGTTTGCTTTTAATGTAAAATCTATCCCATATTTTACTTGGGAATGGCATTAAGCCAAACTCCAGTGATTGCAAGAAGTGCTTGTCTCAAGGGCCTCTACTCATACTTTGCTTGCATCCTTTTCCTTTCCTGGTTGGATTTCAGGGAGATTTTAACTAGGCATATCCTCCCCCAGGCTGTGTCATTGTCTGCTAATCCCCTTTATAGGGCAAAATAGCTGATGTCTCCCTGCCTCCCATTCTGGCAAATGGAGCAAAGCTGACACAGGGCTTCTGCTTTTCCCTCCCCCTTCCCACACACCTTCCAGAAAGACTGGTGCTCGGGCTATTCTCTACACACACACCCTGTGCCTCTCCTGGGGCATTTCCTGGCTGCCCTTGTGCCCAAAGCAGGCTCAACATGCACTATTGCACCAGGCTCTCTACAGCACAAGTCTGCTTCATTCAGGTTTCAGGTAGAGAAGAGTACTTCTGCTGCCCTACAACTCAACCTGAAGAGTCAGGTTAACAAACCATTGCTAGCAGCACCCCTGCCTTCAACCTAGATGGGGCTCTTCCCATCTAAAACACGGTCAGCTGGTTTTGGGCAAACCCTCGGGGGGTTGGCTGCAGGTTTGACCACAATCCTCTGAGAGCTCAGCCTTATCCCTGTCTGCACTGATTGCAACGTGGTATTTCACATACCAGATAACTCCTCCAAAGTTATGTTTTAACACCATCTAATCTAGTTAAGTCAAGCCCCAAGACACCCCCAAGGCAAGGTGAAAGAGAACCCATACATTTTTTTTTCATTTCTACAATTGGTTAAAAATCTAGGGAGAGGAGACCCTAGTTAAACAAACAGAATGTATTTGCAATAGCAGTTTGAAAAATGCCTTTGATAAAAAAAAAAAAAAAAAAAAGATATTACGTGAGCCAAAAAAAAGGCACAGGAATGGTTTCACCTTTTAGGTGATATGTTTTGGATGACATTTTACTTAATTGGCCTCAGAAACAGTTAATCATTATATAATAGTGTATGCATAGAAGTGAAAGTTTTTCTCAAAATAGTCAAGCGATGGCAAGCAAAGCTCCAGCTTAAATGGCACCGAGAAAATTATAAGCAGCTGAAAGGAGAAATAATAGTAGAAGATATACTTCATCTTTAACCACAGAGGAGTCTGCTGCTCCCCTCATAATAAATCTATGTGTAATAGTAATAGATTGGTATGGAATGACCAAATATTAATAAAACCTGGGTGGCTGACAACTTCACTACATCCTGCACAGTGCTGAAATAATGGCATTCATCTTAGCACTCAGTCCATTGTCATTTATTTGGGCCATTAAACCATTAGGACACACATAGGGAGCCCAGTTGGATTTGTTTTTAAACACCATTCTTACCCAGCTGTCCCCCTTAAACTGGAGAACTTTTCCAGGCTAAGCCATGGGCTCTCTCCTCAGCCCATCACTTTGGGGACTGGTTTCCCCCATGAGTCCCATAGTCAGATAAACAACACTCATCTCAAAGACCTTCAGAAGTAGTGGATGCTCACCTTGATGTTCAAATCTGACTTTGTAACCACCACCTCTACTGACACAGGATGTTTTTAGGCATCGAGGCAGTGATGTTACTGGACTAACAGCGGGTATAGATAAGGCATTTGTCATTTCCTGCTACTTCCATCTCTGGAGGTTCAGCTGTGACAGTGACAGAGCTGCCAGGAAGACAAGTTCTATCACCATCAGCCGCCTAAATCTCCCTCTGTAGTTCTGTTTTCACAACGCAGGCATTTCTACTAGACTTTCCCAGGTGATGGAGTGTATTTCTTACAGCCCAGGATGAATTTACCTGGAGCAGCCAGAGAGACAGACTTAGAAATGCTGAGCAGTCATTGCTGGTGGCAGAGCAAGCGAAGCATAGCAACGCTGGCATTTGCATTTGCTCACCCAAATAAAATGAAGGGAACAGAAAAGGATCCTCCTTCTAGCAGATATATTGTACCTGCTCTGCAACACGCAGCTGCCATGTTCCAGACTGGGGACATTAGCTCTGCTGCAAACAAGGGAACACTGCACTCAGCAAGCATATGTAGAGGGGAAAACTACAGTAGAGGATTTTGAAGCAGAGCTAGCCTAAAGTGACAAACAGAGCCTCCAATAATCACCGAATAGCAATTCTTAGGAGGAAATTTTTAGAAGAAATTTAAGAGGAAAAATTACTCAAAAAAAGGGAGGTATATGCAGAAGTTAAAGGAGAGAAAATAAAACACACAGTAATATCTGGGTTCAAAATTACTGTCAAATGCAGCTCCAAATGCTAGTCCCATTAGTTTGTTTCTCTAAAGATGGGCAAGCTGGACATTGTCATTTCAGACAGCAGGAGCAAGGAATTCTGCTAGTCTTATGTGCAACATGGGTCTATGTCATTGTCCAGCTGCAGAAAGTGAAGACTTACTCTGACAACAAATGCAAATCTTAAAGCCACAGGTACATCTTTAACCCTGCCTCTGTTTGAGAGCTCAGGGAACTGTCATGTAACTGGAGGCAAGTGTCCCTGTGCAGAGCACCAGGCGTGCCTGTACACATAGCCACCAACAGCAGCTCCATTTCAGTGCTCCTGAAATCTTGTGTCCATCCTCAAAAATTTACCAGCGAATTACCATTCTTATAGCTCACGTAGATTTAGAGCTCAAGTTTGCCCATCAGAAGGTACAAATAAGGGTGGCTGAGTCTTGCTACGAACAGGGATGTTAACTCAAACGTGCTACGGCCACAGCTCTGGTTACACAGAATTGAACTCGAAAGCACTCGTGCCATATTAAAGAAACAATGAATTCACATTATAAATTGTTTATAGTGAAGAAAAAAGGGAGAAACATTCCATTACCTTTATGGCAGACTGCAATGAAAGCAGTAATAGTGCCATATGACTTCTTACAGGTTCCCAAACCGTGCATGAGAAAGCTCCTTTGGTGAAAGCCTTGTTACTAGCTGGACCTGCTGGTGTTGGAAAGAAAATGTTGGTCCATGCCATCTGCACAGAAACAGGAGCCAACCTCTTCAACCTATCTGCTTCCAACATTGCTGGGAAATATCCAGGCAAGAACGGCCTGCAAATGATGCTTCACATGGTTCTCAAGGTACTGTGTTTTGTGTACTTCTCTACCAAGTTGGTTCAGTTCATCACATCTTTTGTGGAACAAACAGGGAATTGAATGGTAGTTCCTCCATACCAAAGAGCATACACACCAGTCATACGAGGGCAAAGCTGCCCAAGGACCAAAGGACTGCCAACCAAATTTGAAATTCCCTCCCTGCTTTCTAGTTTTCAAAACCGCTTGTTGACAGCCAGCGTGTGCACCACTGTAGAGGATTTAATGCCCCTTGAGGAGTCACTCGTAGTAGCCATATTTTTCACATTAACAATTGTGCAAGCTTTGTGTTACCTTGAATATGGAAAGCTGCATAAACAGAGAAAATTCTGTTCTCTGTTTATATGCACATCAGCCAGGAATGCTTGCCATGTGGCATTTAATCAAATACTAGACTGGGGGTGGTCAAAAATTTCCTCTCTGGGACAGTTGCTGTAAAACAGCTCTCCCCTATACTGCTCTCTGCTTACCTATCAGCAAGCTTTTCAAAAGAGAGAATCCTAGTTCAGGATTACATTAACAGAAATGTATGAGAAGTCTGGAAATGAAAGTAGGCATATGAACTGTGAAGAACATATCCCAAATCCTCTTCAGAAAAAAAAGACACTATCCTGGCAGGATTTCTTCCATATTGTAAGTCCTCAGTGTTTTTGCTAAGGAAGGAAGCTGGTAAACATTTCCAGACAAAATACTCTTAGAAAGATAAAAACACAGCACATACACTAGAAAAAGCCAAATACAATATTTTCCCAGTGCCAGAGGCCTACTAAAAGACTGAATTCAAATTGGCTTTCCCTGGGATTTATCAGATGTGGTTTATTAAATCCAGTATTATAGCAGGCTTTGTGACAGGTGCCTCCATGCCCAGAAAAGACAAGTTTCACAGTTAAAAGCAAAGCAATCCCCAAGGACCCCATTTCTGTCTGGTCAGAGCAGCGCCTAAGGAAAAGCGACCGTGCTGTGATCCTGCACCTTCGATGCCATAACACAAATGCTGGATCTAGCACTCCCTGACACAAACTAGTGCCATTAGACTGAGTTGCCCTTCTCCTCCCTCCACTCTGCACATTTCACCCTTCTCCACTTAATTTCTCTGCCCTCATCAATAGCAAAGCACATGTCTGGCTGCAGGAACAGCGCACACACTGTCTTTTCCATTGTTTAGCCCCTGCTAAAGCACAAGGCCTTTAAACACAGGAGAAGGGCAGGCAGCCTTTCTACTTGTACAGAAGGTTCCTGCTGAAAGTATTAAGGTTTTTGCATACATGCATATATATAATATATACAATAACTGGAACATACACAAAACATATGTCAGTCAGGTAAGATCACCAGGAGGCCTGCATGGATGAGCAAGGAACTCCTGGACAAGCTGAAACGTAAAAAGGAAGTCTACAGAGGGTGGAAGCAAGGACAGATAGCCCAGGAGGAATTCAGAGAAACTGTCTGGGTAGCCAGGGGTCAGGTCAGGAAAGCTAATACCCTCATAGAATTAAATATGACCAGGAATGTCAAGGGCAACAAGAAAAGCCTTTACAGGTATGTCAGCAATAAAAAGAAGACTAGGCAAAATGCGGGCCCTCTCTGGAAGGAAAAGGAAAGATTTGGTCACCTGGAAAAAGGTGGAAAAGACCAAAGTACTCAAGAACTTTTCTGCTTCAGGCTTCACCAGCAAGGGCTCCAGCCACACTGCTCAAGATGCAGAAGGTAAAGACAGGGACTGGGAGAAGGAAGAACCGTGCACTGTAGGAAAAGATCAGGTTTGAGACCATCTAAGGAACCTGAAGACACACAAGTCCATGGGACCTGATGAGATGCATCCACAGGTCCTGAGGGAACTGGCAGATGAGGTGTCTAAGCTACTGTCCAACATATTGGAGAAGATGTCACAGTCCAGTGAAGTTCCCACTGACTAGAACAGGGGTAATAACCCCCATTTTTAAAAAGGGAAGTAGAAAGGACCCGGGGAACTACAGGTCGGTCAATCTCACCTCTGTGTCTGGCAAGGCATGGAGTGGATCCTCCTGGAAACTGTGCTAGGGCATATGAAAAATAAGGAAGTGATTGGTGACAGCCAACACTGCTTCACTAAGGGCAAATTATGTCTGACAAATTTAGTGGCCTTCTAGGATGGGGTTATGGCACTGGTATATAAGGGAAGAGCAACAGATGTCATCTACCTGGACTTGTGCAAAGCTTTTGACATTGTCCCACATGACATACTTGTCTCTAAATAGATGTGGCTTTGACAGATGGACAAGGAATTGGCTGGATGGTTGCACTCAAAGAGTTGCAGTCAACAGCTCAATGTCTAAATGGAGAGCAATGACAAGTGGTGTTCCTCAGGGGTCAGGGTTGGACCCAGCCCTGTTCAACATCTTTGATGGTGACATGGACAGTGGGATCGAGGGCACCCTCAGAAAGTTGACCAACAACAAGCTGTGTGATGTGGTCAACGTGCTGGAGGGCAGGGATGGCATCCAGAGGGACCTGGGCAGGCTGGAGAGGGGGGCCCGGGCAAACCTCATGGGGTTCAACAAGGCCAAGGGCAAGGTCCTGCCCGTGGGCCGGGGCAATCCCCAGCACAAACCCAGGCTGGGCCCTCGAGGAGTGGCTGGAGAGCAGCCCCAAGGAGAGGGACTGGGGGGGCTGGGGGGGGGAAAACTGCCCGTGAGGCAGCGCCGTGCGCTCGCAGCCCAGAACCCACCCGTGCCCTGGGCTGCAGCCAGAGCAGGGGGGGCAGCAGGGCCAGGGGGGGGATTCTCCCCCTCTGCTCTGCTCTGGGGAGACCCCCCTGCAGTGCTGGGGCCAGCTCGGGGGCCCCCAACAGCAGAAGGACCCGGAGCTGCTCGAGCGGGGCCAGAGGAGGCCACGGAGATGCTGGGGGGGCTGGAGCAGCTCCCCTGGGGGGCCGGGCTGAGAGAGTTGGGGGGGTTCAGCCTGGAGAAGAGAAGGGTCTGGGGGGACCTTTGAGTGGCCTCCCAGGGCTTAAAGGGGGGACAGGGGAGGTGGGGGGTGACTCTGGATCAGGGGGTGGGGGTAGGACAAGGGGTGATGGTTTTAAACTGGCAGAGGGCAGACTTAGCTTAGAACTAAGGCAGAAATTCTCCCCAGTGCGGGGGGTGAGGCGCTGGCCCAGGGTGCCCAGAGCAGCTGTGGGTGCCCCCTCCCTGGAAGGGTTCAAGGCCAGGTTGGACGGGGCTGGGAGCACCCTGGGCTGGGGGAAGGGGGCCCTGCCCGGGGCAGGGGGGTGGGACTAGATGGTCTTTAAGGCCCCTTCCAACCCAAATCACTCTGTGATTCTATGATATCTGTTCATATTAGATATGTAAGTATATATACATGATGTATGTATATGTACACAAATCTAGATACAGGTATTTAAAAACCCTTACATTTTTCCACATTATTTAAGAACAAATGGAAACATCATCCAACACCTCCCCCAAAATTATGGTGATCAGTCCAAGCTTAATTCTCTACTGTAGCCCTTGCAAAAGCAGCAATGGTACTTTGGTGAACCTCCCTGAGTTACCAGGATAGAAGTTGCTTGCAGTCAATCACATGGAATAAGGGTTGTCCAGGTACTTGCTTATTAAAAGGTGACTTGTTCCAACTGCAAGAGCAGTACTACTTCAAACTCTGCTGCTTTAACAACAGAGCAAAAAGCACAGCCCACAGTATCTCTTTCCAAGGAATACATCATCTGCATGCTCATTTCTGTGCAAACTCATATTAACATAACACCGGCCTGTCTTAGCACCATTCAAATCAGCTATGCTCAATTTCCACCCCTAATTCCTTTGGTTGTTTCACCTTTCCTTGCCACCTTCTTCCCCCATGGCTGAGTCATCGATTTGTCTGCTGATGATTTCAGCTCAGATTCTGTAGGTTCTCAAAGCCAGGCTGGAAGCAATCCTCCACCCATGCAGGCTCTCGCCTCTGCAGTTAATCAAGTGTGTCTCCATTTCTGTCTCTGGGATCTCTCAAGTCCCTGACACAGCCATCCACTCCATTAGTCCTGCCATCAGTTGCTGCTTCTTTACAGCATCCAGTATCACAGTCCTGCACCTGGGATGGAGTAACTCTCATGCAACAGCACAAAGAGGTCCAGGCTGTAGCCCAACAACTAGTCAGCAACTTTGCAGGAAGGGACTGGGGGCTCCTAAGGACAGCAAGTTGAACAGGAGTCAACAGCATGTCCATGCAGCAGAGTCAGCCAAACACTGGCCTAGATCAGCAAGAGTATAGCCAACCTCTTCAAGCAATTAACTATTCCCCATTATTTGGCACTTTTGAGACCACAGCTGGACACCTTGTCCAGTACTGCACTACCCTGTTACAAGACAGGCACTGACAAGCAAAGCACGTCCAGTGGAGAGCCATGGAGATAAGGGGGATGGAGTGCATGAGGTAACTTGAAAAAAATCCAGTTGTTTCAGCCTAGAAGGCTGGAGTGAGAGGGAAAATCTGTCTGCTGTTTCAGGGGCTTCATGTGATAATGCAGAGGACAGAGCCAGACTTCTCCCGGAGACGCACAGCAATAGAACAAGAGGCAATGGACACAAGTTACAAGGGAAGTCGTTTATGTTAGGGGAAAAGTTTCACAAGGAATCAAAGTATAAGGAATCTTTTATATCCCGATCTGCAGGAATCTACTGTTACCTAAGCTGAAGCAAACACAAGGAAAACAAATTCCTTAACAAAAGGAAGGCGAACACTAGTATTTGCCCTCAAAAAAGTTTATTTTTCACCTTGGTAAAAAAGTCTGCTGTAAAGATATTTGGATTATTGTGAGACTACAATATACCGCGGCACATATAGCAGACAAGCCATGAAAGCGACTGGTATCTTGCAGCTAACAAAGAGTATTTAATATTCACAGCTCTCAGTCTACTATCTGACATACCACAGTACACCTTGTTAAAGCACCTTGTGTGCAGATGATCAGTGAAAGATTCACCATGTCTCTCTAATCAGACACTTCT